GGCTTGGTGAAAGGTAACATTCCAAATTCTTTGTGAATTTATTATTATGTCCTTTGAATTTAGTTTTAACCTTACTGTATTGATATATGTAATAAGTAATGTCAGTTTATCAATTTTACCATGGTGATATGTATCAAAGTAGTTTAAATTAAATATTGTTTGAAATGATATAAACTTAGTCAATATAAGATTTATTGTGTTGCAGTATTTATAGTAAACAGTTAAACCAATAAAGAGCTCAATACAATATTTTATTTACTTTGATAAAGCGTTTAAAACAGTTCGGTAAAGAAGGTGATCAATATAGAAATTGTTAACACCTTCCTGTATAGTTCATTTAGTACAACATATTTCATATTGGGTTGGTTTAAACATCATTTATTTCGAAAGTATTGTACAATGTAAAGGCATAAAGAATAGGGTACAAAAAACAAACCAAACAGGCTTATATGAATTGGCTTCTTTGTTGGTTGGGTATAATATATATGTACTATTTTAAGTAACATATGATGTAAATAAAACGTAATTGCAGTATTTAAGTCATATTTGGTGTCGTTGCATGATTATAGTTATAACAAAAGGTGTAAGAAAACATTAATGACAGGCATTGTACATAAGGCAGAGTATGCCTGATACTACTCAGCTAGTGAAATGTTGTCTTTTAGTGTGAGTTATTATATTATCCGGTCTGTGTATGTCGTGATTTTGAATTTGATTGTCCTGAAGGATCAATGATACTATAATTTATTTATAAGTAAAAACCATTTACTACGTGTCTGCTGCATTTCAAAGTGTTCCAATCTAGTGGTGTAGCACAGGATTTTTGCTTTAGAAACTAGAGAGCTTTATAGTAAAAACCATTTACTACGTGTCTGCTGCATTTCAAAGCGTTCCAATCTAGTGGTGTAGCACAGGATTTTTGCTTTAGAAACTAGAGAACTTTATAGCTTTATGAACTTCTGGATTTTTCTTGATATGTCCTTTGAAAGTAATTCAAAATTTAATGGTATTTAGTGGTGTGGCAATGATAAACTTCATGGCTTGCTAGATTCAAGACTTACTGTTTTCTTTCTATGTAGCCTACAGATGTGTATTAAATTGATATAAGTTTTATATATTTTCAATCTGATTAAAATTGCATGTCAATTACATTTTTTTTTATGTCATACTCCATTAACATCTCACATAATATTTGAAGATTGAGTTCAGATCACATGCATTTATCAAATTGGTCTTTAACTCTATCATGTAAAACAGTATTTCAAATTTCATTCAGATATCTTACAGTGTAAGCTAAAATAATTCCAGAAAACAAATTGTCACTCAATTACCACAACAAAGGACCATAATTCAGTAAAAAAAAAATAGTGAATCACACAAAATGTAATCAGCAGTGTACCAAGTTTTAATCCGTTATCTCAACGTGAAATTTGGTGAACACAAAAATAGCAGATAGATGAACTGACAGGAGAAAGAGTCCCCTCAGGTATCACCATTAGATGACAAAAACTTAAATTGTACCATGGCAGTGTCCATATTTTCCTGAAGCATGGACAAAACTAGCCTCCCGAGCATGTCCTGGTTAAAGAACACAATGGCAGAAATAATTTCATCAGAATGTTCTTCATCAGTGGTGTGTGTTGATTGATTACCTGTGATAATAAAATTAACGACCTATCATCTACTGGGTGGTAATTTCATTATTCTATGTTCAGGTTTTTATTGACTTTAAACATACAAGATTGGATGTTGCATACATTATTGTTGTAATGTATGTGTTATATGCTGCCATTAAAATCTTGAAATCTTCTGGATGCAGGTTTTGCTTGATTTATATGAGAGCTGACAAAATATGTACAAGTACATACATCAAGTGTCAAAATACCAAAAGTATGAGAATCTGAAGATTTGTATCTTTTTTTTTGAGTCTTGCAGATGTGTTTAGCAAAGTTTTAAAATAAGTGTCCAATAAATCAGAAGCTCGTTGTTGGCCTGTTATTTTTCTTTTCAGATTATCATGCTGCAGTAAAAGCTAATATAAATAACCCCAGGGATCGGGTGGCTGCTGCCCACAGACCCAGTACAGCTCAAAATCAGGCCAAGATCTGGAGGATTTTGTCACTAAACTTTTATTAACCCATCTAAAAGTCCCTCTCTCTTCTGAAATACATATTTTTGTGACCTTAAAGAGGTATAAGCGCTTTGTGTAGTCAAGGCCGGTTGGTAGAAAAATAGTTTTAGATTGTAAGTTATTTGGGTATACAGTTGCATTGGACATACTCAAATTATAACCAACAGCCCTGTTAACCAGTGCTGGATTATGGCTCTGCTGGCCTTAAGGCACATTTTGATAGGTGGCCTGAAAATACAGATACTTTGGGATCACCGATAAATTGAGAACCAATTTTTTTTTACAGTAATAATTATAAGATTACAGTAGCTAGATTACAACTATTTTTACTTGATTTTTTTGTGGCTTGGATTTTTGACTGGCCCTAAAGCATGTGCCTTATTTCATTATTTGCCTAATGGTTAATCTGGCACTGAAGTTACCCAAAGTTGATCAGTTCTTGGTTTCCCTGTAATTAGGTGATCTTATTAAAAGTAATTTAAACGTACATTATGGGAGATTCGGTAACGAGTTGGCAGTTCTGACTATAATAGTCAAAAATTAGATAATGTAGAAGGCAATTTGGTGAAAATTTCATTCAAATTGATCCACTATGAACCGAGAACTAAGCGACTGAAATTCCCATAAGCCTTGGTCATCATTACTAAAGTCAGTACGATAAACAGCATAGTCTCGATTATCCATTTAATCGTTTAATGAGAAGGAAAGTTATGCAGTAAATCGGCTTACAATCCACTAAAGATCGCAGGCTAGCGCAGCCATCTAGAGTTGATTATGGCCTGGATAGGTTAATTAATGTCTAATTAATAATTTAGATAACATTTCAGGCCTAAAGAAAGACCTGAAATAGGCAGATTTAGCTCTTGCATAATGCATGTTTAATTAAAAGTAAATCTTTATTTTGTTCCAATTGTGATATAATATATGGGTCTACTCTAGATAACTGTTATATGTGATTGGGTAAAACCATTTTTAGCAAAAGGAAAAACATTTTCTCATTGGTTAAGTGAGAGGTCAAGCCAAATCAGACAAAGACAAACTGCTTATAGATGTTTATACCTTACTTAAAAGCTAAATGGAAATGAAAGGATGGTAAAAAATTTAATTAAGACTAGGGTTATTTTTGTATGATATTATTCAAAATGAATTATATTTATACAGTGATAATGCTCTTTAAAATCTGTATGTGGGGTCAATATAGGCCCCACCTAAATTAGATACTTATTGATAAAGAAAGAAAACTTAATTCTTCACATTACAAACCTTAGAGTAAGTATGATTATTATACACAGTCGAAACACAAATTGCTGATAATGTTCCTTCTAGTATTGTCTTGTTCAGAAGACCATATACAATGTACGTGTATAAGCTAGGTTATAAATAATATTTTTATTTTTTACATGGAAAGCCATGCCATTAATTTACAATGCACTGTATGCACCTTATTCAGAATAGCTCTTATTCGAGAAGATTTCCATTCAAGTCCAGAATTTCTAATTAAGTTCAGGCTCTGAAATAAACCTCTAAGTTATTTCTCAAGTACATGTTTATGTATTTTTAAGATCTTCATGCATGACTATGCTCTTTTTTCTTCTTTTTCCTTGAGAAAACTATGGAATGTAATTATTGATTTTTTGAACAATGAAGTGATGGCAAGAAAAGGGTTAAATCTCTTGGGTTGGCTATTAACATTATCCGCCAATGTAATACTAAAGCAATTCTCTCAAATAAAAATTCAGATTTTCTCAAGATCATATGCTTGAAGTTTATTTTCTTTATTCTGTATGCCAATATGTAGGCTACATGGTTGGAAGTCGGTTTTAAAACACCTGAACAACTATGCATACTTTCCATGAGTTTAACAAGCAAAGCAATTGTGGACAAGTAATACAATTAAGTGACTTGCTTTCCAGCGTCCCTAATATATACCCATATACATTTTTGCCGGGTCAAAGTCTTTTGTGCATGTGAAGTCCCCTCCAGTACTTAATACTAAAACCAAGGTAATCTACCAAAGACACACCATCATCTGTTATTACTGTCTTCAAGAATTCCCAATAACTACTTGTATGCTATTTTCCATGAAGAGTGTCTTGAAATGGAACCATTCACCTTAGCAGCTTGACAATTTGTTGTAAGTCTATTGGTTGCAAAAAATTCACTAACAATATACAATATGGATGTGTCAAGATATGTGGTAGGAGTAAAAATACTAAAGCCTAACATATTTTCATTGTCAACAACATTTGTAACTTCTGACAAAATGTCTTCCATTAGATCATCATCTGTTTCTGTCTGTAAGATGAATAATAGTGTGCATGAGAAACTGGTTTACAATACCAAACATGAGAACTTAATGGTATTTGTATTTAAAAATGTTTAAAAAGACAAAGATAGTGAACTGGCTTAGGTTTAAACATTTCAGAGGCCAGAGGGCCATTCACACATATTTTTTTCACATAATCATGCATGTGGACCAAAGATTACTATTTATAACTTTTGAAAAATGTCCCAATAACCATCCTTTTACTGTAATCTTATTTCAAATATTTTGAAGTCAACCTAATGGAAAAGCTAAACAACTGGAAGGTATTAGCCAGAGAAAATTCCATCAGGTTTTACCAGAGGGCAGAATTACACAGTGACATCATAACAAATTGTAATGTGCTACTAAAGCAACAGGGATATTAAGGAAGAAAACATTATCTTAATACATAACATGGTGAAGAAAAACTCATTACAAAGTTCTAATCTGAGTGGAGAACAAGTAATAAATCTACTTATCTATTACATGTATCTATTTTTACATAACATTAAAGTTAGTTATTGGTGATATAATCTTTATATTTTTTTTCTCATCTATTTGCAGATGGTATTTGATTAAAAGAAGGGAGAAGATACAAAATTGAAATTATTTCTTTACGTAAAGAGGGCAAAAACCAACAAACTGTTATAGAAAGTCTACTTTTACTTTGTATTAGAAGCCAGAGATTCATTAGAAATATAGAAAGTAAATAACAAATAATCTCTATACGAGGCAACACCACCACTAAAGGGAAAGAATGGCTTTAAGAAATGAGGCACAATATATGTAGACAAAAGATTGTTTTGATTTCTGGTCTTCCCAAACTCTTGCCAAACCTTCAAAAATATTAATGGTATGTGAATTTCAAAGTTTGATTTCAAGTCTTTCATAATCAAGTGCTTCCAGTGATAATTAGATATGGTCTAAAAGGTGATTACGACGATCTATTCTGCTCTCTAATTTCTTACAGACAATTTCTGATCGAGACGTATGATTTAAATCTGAGGATCTGTGTCTATTTAAATGAAATTGTTTTGCAGTTGAATAAGTATAAGGTCTATGTGGCTCGTTCAGACAAATGATTTTATAAATTGGTCAATTGATCCAAAATTATACGAACAGCAATTACCCAAAATATTAGAGAAATATTGAGCGTTATATTTTGTTCAAAATTTGGTCTTCTCAGATGGTCTGCATGATTATTGATAACATTAAAAACAAAATAACTTAAGAACAGTCTGTTGTGTAATGAGGAGTATAGACCTGCATATATTAAAAAATTGTTGGCAGTTAGTGGACAGATGCACTAATAGTATACAGAAACCTATGTAAGACTAAACACCACACTTAAAGGAAGAGCAACCTATTTTCATCATTATATAAGTCCTGAATTATCACAGAGTGGGAAAACTGCAAAGGAAAGTGATGAAAGACCATTGAGATAGCAAATAAGCAGCTAATGAACTCAATACTTTGAAAATTTTACAACTTTTTTTTAAGAGTAAAAAAAACAAATCTAGTTTAAAAGATAAATGCATTTAGAAATGTGTTGAAGCAGGTCCGTTTCTAAAAATGTAAGTGATAAATCTCAGTATTGTGGGTGTGCTGTTCGCTTACATCAATAGTATTGTTTTTAATGAGAGTGCTATTTGTTCACATGGAGAGAAATCTGTAAGAGTCATTTTACCCTAGCTTAGTTTACTTGTTGTATATCTGTGTATATAATGCCATTGCTACCATTTGACTGCATTTGCGTGGTTGTAGACAACCAGAGCTATACACACGTGAAGTGTTCTTGGACTAAAGGATGCCGCTAGTTGTTAATGGTGTGGAAAATTTGCCAAAAGTGTTTCTGCCTCTTAAACTAAATCCAGAATATTATCAAGAATTTATTTCTTCTTGTGAATTCCTGTTAAAATAGAGTGAGCAGTTTATTTTTAGTTTTTTTGGAATAAAGTTGTGTTTTTCTTGGATAAAGATTTGAAGATCTGCTGGTGAATCGGTAAGTAAAGACATGATTGTGTTTTATATACCTTGCTGTCTTGATAATACATCAAAGCGCTGAACACCTGCGTAACAAAACATGTAAGTGTTTTAACTTATAAGAACAAATCTATTCATTTTCTCATTCATAGCTTAGGGATTTTTTTTATTCTACATGTAGATGCAGACTTGGGTAAAAATTTATGATTGATATTTCCTGTATATATGTGTATGGCGTTTTATTGATGTATTGAAATTTCTAACTATATGTAATTTTAGGTATCAAATTCAGATAACAGTTTATCTCTATCTTCAACTAGTTTTACAAAGTTGTTCCATGAATTTGTCATTTTTTAAAATATAACTTTTCACCACAGAATTTAAGGTTAACCTGTTAACTGAACTGCATTCATTCATTAAAAAAATCCTGTTTAAAATAATCGATGAAGGATAAACAATTACTTGATACTGTCTCCTTATAGTCTCATAATACCCGTTTACACTTGAGCGTGCCGTTCTCGGCACGGTACCAGGCCATGATAAATTTCAAGAAATTGACCCGTTTACATTACCCTACAATAACTGGTCTCGGAATCGTGCCAGGCACGTCAAATGTGGAACTATTCACAGAAAAGTTAATTTTAGTCCCTATGTAAATTTCGTGGGGTGAAAACAATTATAGCGGTTGATTTAGTTTGGGCAGTCATTTTGACAGGAATGATGACAAAACTGTCAAAATTCGTGGGAAAAAGGTTAAGATTCATTTAGCGCATGCGCAGTTCTCCATACTGAGTACCGTTCTCAGACCGGATAGTGTTCACACTATGAAAATTTAACTGGTGATGTGCCTGGCACCATGCTGAGACCACCTCACTTCAGTGGGCCAAATCGGCACGGTACTCAGTATGGCACGCTTATGTTTGACCCGTTTACACTACAAATAAACTAACTGTGCCGTGCCTGGCACGCTTGAGATTTGTAATGTAAACGGGGTTATAATCTAGCGGTCACAGGTGTCATTCCAAAGGTTCATCAGTGAAATAGTACATTGACCACTGAACACAGTTTATGGAACATTAAAAAACCATTAAAGATGATTGACCTCAGATTATTGTGATGATTGTGTGGTAATAGACTTGGTGAGGTGATGAAGGAATAAAACTTGTACTAGCTTTATGTAAAATTTCCAAAATCATGCCCAGTTTCATATTGCAGATTTTTAATCCATGATTCAAAATAACTGAATATGAAATCAGAATTTCTTCAAGTAATTATTTAGTCTTTTCTAATAAATCATGTATTATATTAAACTGCCAACTTTGTCGTAATTATGGAATTAATAATCTTAGCGAGACGGTAATGCGATACATCCAAGGCATTAATTATTGAGGAAGAATTTGTACAGTAATACCAATATAACATCAATTATTGACCAAATCTCTATACAATTACATTCATTATTGATGCACAAATTATCTATGTTAAGTCTTGGGTATCTTCTTGATGATATATACTATAATTGAAGTGATAATTATTGAAGAATTGCTAAATGAAGACATCTGGTAAAACAAATAGGACAGTTTTATCTCAGGAGGTTTTAATATGATCAACATGAGGTTATTGGGTATAATGTTCTCTCACTGGTATTATTAACCTATTATTGCATGTATTATTGTCATAACTGGGATTTGGTAATTGGGGTGCTCGGGTTTGAATGAAATGTGTATACCCTAAGCTAGCTGCATGCTACATGTAGGTAGAAAGCTCTTTTTTTTAAAACTGATTAAATTTGGCCAACCTTTGCATCCAGACAACAAAATTAAGCTAGATTGTCAATTGTGGGTGTTAAACCAGCTTATATTAAAGATATGAATTGTATAATAGATCAATATGGGGGTGGTTGTCAGATATTAAAAAACGATCAACCTACACAGTTTTTAATCACCCCACTATTTGATAAAACCGATAACTTTAATTGACTGAAATGAAAATATAGTGTGCATTGAGAAAAATTTTGATCCGACAACAGCATTTCTGACTTCTCGTCATCAAATTCCAGCTGCCAAATGTTATTTTACATGCATGCCAATGTGTACATATGGGACCTCAGGTTTTTGACCCATCCGAACGAGACGCTGTTTCTGTCTAGGCCCTCTGTTTGGCACCACAGAAAGGGAAAACCAAGCTGAGAAATCCTTAAGAATATTCTTGACAAACATTGAGATCAACCAAGCAAATCCTGCATCTTACTCATTGAGCAAGCATGACTCCAAAATGACCAGCAAACACTGTTAATATAAGGACATTACTGAAATGGCACAATTTCTTCATTTTTATGTTTCGAACAGCATTTAATAACATCCAGAAGGACAACAATGTCCAATTCTGTAATGAAGCAGGAAGCAGAACTGAGTTTTTGATTTTGGTAGACAAATGAATGTAACTGGATCATTATTTTACATCAGTAGTGTTCCAGTTGTTGTCAGATAGTGTTATAAAAGCCAATAAAGTGCTATCATGTCAGCCAATATCTTAAGAAACAGATATGATTTGAGGATAAGATTAGTAGTGTTAATTGAGGATCACCAACATTAATCTTTCTCAGATTTAATTTGGATAGTTCTAAAGGTTTATGATACATCATCATCAGGGTTCCACTGTAATCAGTTTGAAAGGTCAGTCATATTGTTATTATCTGTATCTGTATGTGCTTCATTGATACTTATCAATTATGTTAAAAAAATGTGCTTTATGGTTTAGTTGTCCTTTTTTATGACAAAAGATTACTAATCGACAAGAATCAATTTTGATTCCCATCACACCGTGCATTAATATCAGTTCATGATTCGAACTTGGACTCACAACAAGAGAAACTGTTAAGTTGTCCTTTTTTATGACAAAAAATTACTAATTGACAAGAATCAATTTTGATTCCCATCACACTGTGCATTAATATCAGTTTATGATTTGAACTTGGACTCACAACAAGGGAAACTTGATTTTATTTGTACATTATTCACTTACATGCATGTAAAAAAAGTGTGATGACTTAGTGCTGTTTTAAACCATAATAAGTTATTTCAGAAATGCTAGACTGCTAGGAGTACAATAGGGAAATTGGCTTAAACCATTGAATTGTTTTACGATAACATGCAGGAATATTTGGTTAATAAATGTCTTACTGTCCAGACTACATTATAATTAGCAATCATAAGTATTTTTATATATTATGTCATGTCTTTGTCTTGTCTTCTACCGATTGTCATGTCTTTGTCTTGTCTTCTACCGACCTGTTAGTCTGACACCCAGGTGGTATAACTAAAATTGTATCATTATATCATTAAGAATGTGACAACCAAGTTAGGAAGGTACATTGTAACAATTAGTGAGTGGGAATCTTTATCAGAAAGATGAAATGAAATGGGGTCAACGTCCTGTATTAGAGAGATCAAGTGACTGCTATGTTAAAGTGTTAAATAATAAAGTGTCTACGAATTCATTCTCCATATCATGTTAGTATATATATACCTACGATGAAATGTATAGTACCAGACACAACATGTATGTTTGATCAATCTGCCCATCCATAGGTGACTTTTTAAATCTATATCTGTTATGCCTCTTGGTACTGTTGCAAAAGTTTATTGTAACTCCATAAATCATATTTATTGTGGAATTGTTTTGGAATTCATGTTTTATTGATTTTCATCGGTTTCTGTCAAATTGAATTGCAATACCCCTTGATATGCAGCAAGCAAAACCCCTAGAAATCTATAGTTATAGAAACCAAGCTTGTTGAGTCTTGATTTGATAAAGTTACACCTTATATTCTCCTCAAAACCTACTTACTGGTGTCAGTACAGCTAAATATTCTTTTTGTACCAATTACTCACTACTACTCAATATCATCTTATTTATTTCTGTTACTTGATCAGATAATAATATAAGTGTTCTAATTTTTAGAGAAATCTATTTAAATATGTCTTATAAGGATTATAATAAATATGATTTAGTCTGTTAACAGATACATTCTGTAGGCAGGTACATAATGGCTTTCTTGAAATCTTGTAGGCCAAGACCAACCAGGAAGGAATGGGGGTCTATTCAGAACGACAGTAATAGTGCCCACGAAGCATACATGTGAATGCTGAAGACCTCATTCCAGTCGTAACAGCATTAGTGGTCAATGATGTTCATAGTACTGTATTATGTTTATCATAAATTAGTTGCATGTCCACACTAAGTTCAACATTTCTGATAAAACTGCTCACTGTGCACACAGTAAAGGTATTTCTTGGTTTACCAGGGTTTGAATTAAACTTTCGAAATCTGTGTCTTTGATCCACTGAATTAATAAATTATTGTTTTCTATATTTTAAATAGCTTGGGTATCACAAGAATAGCCCCCCACCCTCCCCCTTTAAGAATGGAAACCAGGAACCCCAATTATAGTTGGACCATATGTTTCATTAGAAATGTCTACTGATCTTAAAAGTCATGATCTTTGGTAATAAATTGTGAAACCTAAAAAAAGATTTCAAAGTTTACCTTTATGAAGCTTTTCTTTAGAATGAAAACCAGAAACACCAATTAGTTAGACCATATGTTCCAGTATTCTCCAACTATTCATCTTATCTCTTAGGTATATATTTTAGGGTATTTTAATGTTCTGGTATACATGTATGTAAGAAGTAGATTACAGTCTTGTTAGTAATTTTAAACCAACAGCTTCTGGTACTTGTATACGGAATTACAGTCATTATTATAACAAAGAGTATGACTTTGTTTGGCTAACGGTCAATTAAGTCTGCTTGTTTGTGACTTCTATCAAGATAAATGAAAGTGTGTGTTGGGCCAGTTGCTGGATTTTGTTGATAAAGCTGACAGTAAAATGAACCTCCAGAGAAACATGTTTCTTTCATAATGAAATACCAGAAAAGGAAAAGGTAATTGTTGGTCTTAGTTACCCCATCAAACCAATCTGGTAACACCTAAAAATAAATTTTCACAGTAACGGAA